AAAACTGTTGCATCCGTGGATGTACGAACACATTACTTTGGAAACCTGGATTTCATTCAATAGTAAAGAAATTTTATAAATTTTCACAGAGCAGAATTGTGTCTCACGCCCAATGATATACATAATTACATTACATAGATTGCTTATCCATATGTTTTTTTTTTTATCTAGCTTTGTATCAATTTTGAGCACTTGAACATTTACAGAACCGGTTTAGAAATTAGAGTCTTTAGAGTTTTATTGTCATTAAGAATTTTTACATATTTAAATGAACATTTTATATAAATCTAATTTTACTAGATAATTAATGGTTTATTCTGTTGATTAAAACTAACGTAGAAATGTTACTATGAAATAAGTATGTCCAATTTGACAAACATATCATAGCCCTCTTTACAATTTATTAACTATTTCTCATTTATTACTAAAATAAACAAATCATAAATAATACGTACATTACAAGTACTATCAAAAGAGACAGCAACAAACTTTAAAATATTAAAAATCCAGTGATTTTTGTAAATTTTTTTAGTGACATTACCATTAAACATTATTCAGAATAATAGATGTGTCCAATTACAACTCTCACCAAAGTTGTTTATATCTCATATCAAAGTTGTTTACATTTCCTTTTCAAAATTGTATTACATATTGCAATTATGTATTTTATGTAGTGTAATTTCTCAAATGAGAGTAGTCTAAAATTATTTATATCCATCTGTTTTAAAAATTGTTTAGATCTCTTAATATTATTTAACTACATGGAAACTCAACTTTCCAAATACATAATAACGTGTCTTGAAGTAAAACTTTAATTATTTTCTTTTTCTAAAGATTAAAATACTGAAATTTTATATTAAAACACATTTGGGCTAGAACGGCTCTATTTTAGTGAGCACTAGGAAAGGCACATTGCAACCCGCTTTTCGTAATTTTTTTTATAGATGGAATGAGCAATCTATAATATGTATATCATTGGGCGTCTCATAAACGTCAGTGGAATGAATGACATTTCGACTAACACAAATCTAAAAAGAATTATTATTATTCCCAATCTTTTTTATTAATTTACATTTTTGAGATGTTATTGTAATACTTTTAAATTCAGTGTTACTAAATAACGATATTTTGACATTGGATACACTTGTTTAAGGTACAACTTTACAATTTATTGTCAATTAGCCATATAAATCTTTTTGCTTAAAATGTATATACATGTCCAGATTTTAATAATGTTTTACATTTTATATCATTTTGACCATGTACCCGATTGTTTGGTACGGGCCGGTATCTATATTTAACTATATTTAATATTTTAAAAAATATTCTTTATTATTTACTTGCAATGTTTACCCCATTTAATTCTAAAATTAAACACTAGAGAGGGCTAACTTCGGCAGTAGTGCTGCCTCTATATTTCACTCACGGTCCCTATAGTGAGGATAGCCTGTGTATAGTCCCACAAAGATCCTGTTGACCATGGGTGCCGTCACACAAGGTCAAAGGGGCGTCTGCCCTTCTGGATTTGCAATTTAAGATTTTTTCGCGGCTTTCGACTATTCGCGATTCAAGCTAAGTGATACGCCATCTGGAGGAAAATTGTAAAATGTATCTACGCGTAGGACTTTGTTCAGTGTTGCTCTTGAAGAAGTAGAAAGATCTTTTTTTAAGTAGCAAGATGTAATCAGTAATCAGTAAGCATACCCTATATTTATTTGAGGATTTTTTATAAAACCGATTTATTATATCGATTTTTTAATTTAATTTAATTTTTTATCAATTTTATTATAAAATCAGTTCATAATTTGACACCATAGGCGTCCGTGTTCAATGTTTATATTTTAAGTTGTATCAATTATAATTCGATTTTTATCTTACTTGTGAGCTTTAAATTTATTTCTTATAGTGAAAAAGCCCCCAGCAAATTGTAATCCGTATGGTGTTAATGTCAAAATCAAAACTGAAGTGTTCATTATTTTCCAAGCGTACTTAGGTCGAAAAATTATGTTTCTTACGATAAATGGATATCTACAAATTCTCAATATTGAGAGTTTGCAAAATTTTGTCTAGAATCAAAACTGCAGTCTGCATTTGTGACAGTGGCGGTTTGCCCGTAAGGGCATTTGGGTACGTGCCCTAGTATAATAAACAAAAAAAAGTAACTTACATATTTTATATTTTCCTCAATGCCTATTATTATTTTATCTAATATTCAGCGCAAACCGCATTGGCACGACACTGGACGACCGGGCGTTGAGCGACGTTCCGAGAATTCCGAAATGAAGTGCAAGATGGACACAGGGCATAGTAAATGTGTGCTTCTGTTGTTTTCTCTCTCATTATGATGCGAAAAACAAAGACAACGACAATATCGCTTAGCAAGAGATGAACACATGCGATGGATTATACGTCCTTATCGTGACGTGCTGTACCCACGGCACAGATTACCTAGACCAAATACGAATGTACGCAACGGCATCTTTACCGGCTTCCTCACAAAGGCGATGCCGGTTTCGGCTTAAGGTGCGCGAAAAAAAGTTAGTTGGACCATTGGAATAGTTAAGAAATAAAACTACAAAGAAAAATACCTTTTTTTTATAAAGCAGTCAAAATTATGATGAAAAAAAAAATCAATAATATTTATAAATGGGACAAAATTTTAATTTTTCTTTTGGTTTTGTCTGACTTTTTCGAGGATTTCAAATCTCTGTTTGCATATTTAAGAGTATAAAATATTCTGAGTCTTATAAATAATTTAATGGTGTACATTTTCGCAAATTGTTGACATTATGTCATTAACAACCAAAATTAGAAGATTCATTTTTAAATTTTATGAATTGAGGAAATTTATGCCTAATTATTATTTACAATTCGCTGGTTGAATCTATTTTGCGATATGGTATAATGAGGACTACTTTATTTTTTATACCATGGTGGACTATATGATATTGCACTTCAACTCCTCAATGTAATCCAAAATCGTATAATTAAAACCAGCATTATATAAAAGAGTATAATAAAAAAGTGCTTTGTATAAGAACATTATATTATCTGTCTTGCTGCCTTTATTTATGAAAAGCATACACTACAAATTATTTGCAATAAATCAACAGAAGCATACAAACATTTTTAAATAATTTGACGTTTAAGAGTCATTCACACATCACAGTTGACATCTTGATACTTGACAGACACAGCATCATTTTGATTTTTGCCAAATAAAATGGCCGGTTAATTATTCTATCGGGTTGCAACAGAGAGCCAGTAAATTTGATGAAGGTGTTTTTGTGGCTAGGGGCGAAATAGTAGTAAGTTTAAGTTAGCACCACCATAAAAAGTCATTTTTAAGAAACTGCTTATATATTTTTCATAAATTGACAGGCTTGGCGACTAATTTCGAATAAAAATAGCCTCCAAAATGGCTATGTTTGCATTATGAAGGTAGCAACCCGCCTTAGAAATCTCATCTTTACAATCAACAGCTGTTGTCTGACAGGTCGTTGGATAATGTTTGCAATGTATGGAATTTAAAGAATGTTAGGAATGTCAGACGTTAGAAATAATTGAAATTCCTGAAATTAGTCATAAGAAATCCATAGGTGGATTTTAAGAAAATTGATATTAAAGTAGTTAGGATGAACCGAAAATTCTGAAAATCAATAGGGTTCTAAGTTAGAAGTAATTATTCAAGAAAATCAAAACCGCAAGTCAATCAGAATGTTCGTTCTAGAGTTATCGTACCGGCATACATACATACAGACGACCAGACGAAAAATTTTTTTTGCATTTTCGGACTCGCAATGATCGGAAACATGAAAAAAAGTTTAAAAAACTGGGGGTTACAAAATTTTTTCGTCTGCACGAATGCAATACTGAGGCCCCATAGGAAGGACCTCAGTAATTGTTAAGTAAATTGCATTCTTCTGAGAAATTTAACGCAAATTTCGCAAGAGTGGAATGTAATGATTTTTTGATTAAATAGCCACATATGTAGTTAAATGCATTTTGAGTGGTCACATTTAGCTCCCTGTAGTCACATTCAGAAATCGTTATTGCCCCAACTAATTATTTTGAAATATATTTAATTTTCATTAAGCGGAGAACTTGTTTTCCCAGGATTCCTTTTCAGTGTGTGCCCCACTGCCGCTAGTGCCCACGAGCCGCCACTGATTTGTGACAGTTTTATTACCGTTTACATATATACAAAGTACTACCTATACCGTTCACTTCATAATATAAGAATAAGGATAGTAAGATTTTTAATTAAGTTTATCAATAGTAAAGGTTAGGTACCTAAAATGTTCTTTAAGTCACATAATAAAACATGTCCCGCGTTTGGTAAATAAATATTTCTAAATGTTTGTGAAGATTTTCAACAAATTGTATGATAACTATTATATTTATGACGAAAGCACAGAAACTAGACTTAAACGAACACTAAATTAAACTTAAAAACACTATTATAATGAGATTATCTAAAAACAGTTAAAAAATCAGAAATACAAAATCCCGCGCAAAAAAAACACAATGTAAACAAGCAAATATTCTACTTATAGGTGACAAATGACAGGCGCGCTATAGTTAATTTAAATCGCGATTAACCTGCAGTGTTTTGAACCTGTATGTATACCTATAAGATTTGCCCCTCATGGAAAATATTTGAACGGCGCCCATGTTGTTGACAACATTTTTATCACTTAACTAATAGGTATTTAAAATTAAATACTAATGTTTAACTTTAGTAAAACATGTACAATTTCATTTAATTTATTTTTGTTTCTGGAAGATATTACATATATCCCATATCAATTATTCAAACCAACCAAAAATATTCTATTATTGAATAATTGCAATACTTATATGTATATATTATTATTAATAAATAATAAAGTGGATAATCTTTATTTATTTATTTATTTATTTAAATAAGATTTTTTCTAATGTCAATAATCTATAAATCTTATCAATTCCTATCAGTTCTAGTGATGCTCTCGTGTGAGATGCTCTTGTGTTTTTCTGTAACGTTTTTCTCAACGAGCTAGAAAATTATCGAGTTTCATTAATAACAATTCAGGTACATTTATTTATTTATCTTTTAAATTTCAATTATCATTTATGGCATTACATATTTATTTATAACTGAATTTTTCTCATATAGAAACATTTTCTGTCTCGGCTTGCAACTTAAATATTTTTATTTAAATAAAATTCATGGTGTCCAAATCCTATTTAGATGAGATTTTCACAAATACGTTTTATTTTACAATTGCTATCCCAGTTATGCCAAAATGTATTACTTTAATATAGAGTTTTTAAAAAATTGTCCTTATTCAAATCAAAATAACCAAATTTTATTAGATGCATGTTTATTGTATGTTTATGAAAGGTGCGCTTTTCTACTGGTCAAAAATGTATATTTTTTTATACTGAATGTCAATTTGGAAATAATTGTCTTGAATATAACTTTATTTGACATTTGTTTACAAATGTGTCATTCTTTTCATTCAGTTTATATATTCTTTTTTATATTCTTGAAATTTACCCAACTTGGTTTTTGTGTGTCAAAATAACTACACTTTTTTTGAAAAATAGCTAGTGGACCTTTCAGACCTTCCATCATTTAATAAAATTGGGTTATTTTGATTTAAATAAGTGCAATTTTTTAAAAACGCTCTGTTTAAATGATACATTTAAATATCAATGAAACAAAACTTGTTATAAAATAAAACATCAATGAAAATCTTACAGTTTTATCGTTAAGCGTTATTAATTGTTAAGCTAGGATACTTTTCAACGGGACACCCTGTAATAAAGGTCGTTGAAATCAACTATTAAAGGAGAATGCCTTGGCTGATCCTGATCCATTAAAAAATAACTTATATGGCATAAATTAGCCTGTAGGTATATTTCAAATTGAGTTTAGTAGGTAGACTATAAAATAAAAATTGATTTGGGAAGAACTTTATCAAAAATATTTAAAATAACATAAAAAAAAAAGTTGTGTTATAGTTTTTTGCACAGATTCTAACAATACATGGTAGTTTTATTTTTAAATTTTAGAAACATTAGTATATTGGTATAAATAAAATTTTCAGGTATTTTTAAATGCATAGGTATAGTTCAAGGAATCTATATATTGTGAGCATAAAGCATAAATATAGGGTAAGTCAGAAGTAATGGACCAAATTCTAAATACGTTCAAAATACAAATTTAATAATATTTTACTTAGCAGTGATAATGGGTATAAAATAGCTTCTTCCAGGGGATTAAAGTTAGAAATATAAAATATTTTCTTGTTAATAGATCAGCTATTTTTTAGATACAGGCCTCAAAATTGGCGAAGGTCTGTATATTTTAACGAAAAACAAGAATATATTGTTAGATTTGATTTACCTAGCTCGTAGATGTCGCCACATACGCCATATTGAATAAAATAAAGAATAAATTGGCTATAAATTTTATGTTTCTCGCATTATGAATTTCCAATTTACATATTTAATTTGGAATTGGTCTGTCTTTAAATATCTACCTTTCCAAACTTTCGTATATCCATACTATAGACACAGCTTATACAATACAGCTCCACAACTCCGTGTCGGCGTCTTTGATCTGGCGGTTGAGAACCAAGCAAGACGGAATGGTGCTATCTCTGTTAGATTCGACGGAAAAGACGGGCCCGGATTAAACAATTTTTTTATTATTGAAAAAATTGAAAACCTTGGCGTAATAAGGTTGGTTACATGCAATATTAAGTAAGTTTTGGGAAATTAAATTTTAAATTTGTTTTAAATCTGTCAAATATAATTAAAAAAATTATTTAAATATAAATATTACAAAAAATAGCACATCTTTCGGATTAGAGGTAAAATAATTTGTATGTGGCTAGTAAAATTCTCGTTAACAAATGTTTTGAGCTAAAACAGTTACTTCACGACAAATTGTGGCTTGGATCCTTTTTACACCAAGGGCTTTAATTTTTAAAGAATTTTGTCACGCCCGTGGATACAAATCAAGTGGTACCCCGTGTGTCTAGCAAGTGTTACTCTTCGCGCAAAGGGTTTATACCTAGATAAACGAATGCTTCGACAGAGGTCTGGAAACTATTTTGGAATTATAAAGAATTTGTGCTTTTATTTTAACAATATTGGTTATATTTAGATGTATTTTTAATTAATTGAAATACAGATTTGTAGAAGTAATACTTTGACAGTTTTTATTAATATAATATATTCAATTTTTATCTGACCATACCGAAGTAGGGAATTTTGAAACTTTACAGTAACGTGAAATTTGAATTACAATATTACACGAAATTACATAATTAGTACTTATTTTAGGTAGGTACTAAATTTGTACTTGGAGAAAGTAATATCGATTTTTACAAGAAAACTAGAAAAGTAAATTAATTTAGTTCCTATTTCTGATGTAAAACTTAAACCAAGAAAACAAATAAATAGTAGTTTGTTCAATAAGGGTGGATATGATAGCCATATCACACGAAGACGAAGTTTGAGCACGACGTCGTAGGCGGAGTACTCAATCGTCTGATTGTGATATGAACAATCCACTCGATATGGTCAGTATATTTTTTCTACGACCCACTAACGAAAATTATTTTAGGTTATTTAGACAAAATAACTAATTTTAAAATAATTTACGAAGTTGACTAATTTATAAAATAAAATAAACATGAAAAATTAATTAGTGCTCGGCCTAGATTCGATCCCGGGCTTTTCGCGTGGAAAGCAGATGCTCTGTCCTCATCTTCACCGAAACTTTCAGGACTTGTAATTTGATTAAATTTTTTTTTTTAATGTGGACACAATAAAAACAAAAATGCTATTATTTATCGAGTCTACACAAAAAATTTAATGTATATTCAATATCAATAACTAAAATATATACTGACAATTAGTTTAACAGAATTGTCACTTATTTAAAAAATTTTAAATAATAGGAGTTGGGTGACCAAAATATGAACTGTGATTTGTGGATTTAATTTTGTTAAAGTGTTCTCACTACCTAAAATGGATATGAAATATATTCGTAGTTGAACGCAATAGCATACTTTTTCGTTTTGTAGTATGTGCGTAGCTTGGCTAATATCCATGCATAGATTACAAAACGAAAAAGTATGCTATTGCCTTCAACTGAACGAATATATTTCATATCCATTCTATGTAGTGAGAACACTGCAAAAAAAATAAATTCGCCAATCACCGTTCATATTTTGATCAACCGACTGCTATTATTTTTAAAATTTTAAATAAGTGACAATTCTGTCAAACTAATTGTCAGTATATTTTTTTAGTTATTGAGATTAAACATATATTGAAATAGGTTATTCTTTTGGAAAACGTTAGCATGGATGACTAAAGGGTTAAGTGGAAGAATATTTTTATTGTCTACTCGACAATAAAAATAAAATTTGGCCTTTATTTTCATTTACGCATTTTACGCCAAAGAATATAATTATTGTAATTCATAATTGTTTACTGTGTATATTTTCAAATTTAAATTTCTTATCTATTCATTTTTATTTTTATTCAAGTTGTTTAACCGTTTCCACATGACAGTGGTGACAAGCGACACTTAAAGACGTTGACTTATCAAATGTCAAGAGAGGAGGTGCGTTCACCTCAGTGTGGAACATGTTTCTCCAAGTGTGATTCGAGTGATTGGAGGTGGTTAACGGAGATCAAAATTTGTTATTATTGAATTTAAAGATTTGATTTATTGTTAGTTAAATTTAAATAAATATTTAATATGAAATGATGTTATTATTTTTAATGATCCTTTTAATGTCAAGACAATACAAAAATGTGGTTCTGATGTGCCATCTCGGGCTCTGCAGAACTTTTTTTCCAAGATCGCACAACTAAACCCGTGGTCCCTAGAGGTGAATCTGATGTTTAGTCTTAAAAATTACTAAATCACTCATCAAGCGTACTCATGGTTGAAAGAGACAAAAAAAAGAACAAAAAAGTTTTAAACAAAAGAGTACCATGGTCCCAAAGGTAGGCTCTGATGGGTGAAATAGAGTTTAGGAGGGGATGGCTCTCAAAAGCTTGTATTGAGCGACTCGGACCTACATCATTATAGAGGGTTAGTTGAGTTGTCTATAGAGTGGTATGAAATTTTTGTTAAGGTTCACTTGAGTGTTGAGACAAAGGATATTGTTGTCTCTTTCAAGAGTAATTTCTTCATAGTAACATCTTCATGAAAATTTTGTGTTTAAGTTAACTAATAATTTGGAGTTTTTTGTAGGGCTGAAATTATGTTGATTGAACCTCAAGTGATGTCCGAATGCAGATGTGTCCGGCTTCTTGATGTGCTCGCCTATCCGGACTCCCAGAGATCTACAAGTTCTGCCGATATAACTGGCATCGCAATCGCTGCATTGCAACCTGTATACTCCACTCTTATCTAACAAATTCGTTTTGTCTTTTGTATTGACTAGATGAGAGTCTAATTTATTAATTGATTTAAAAGATACTTTGATGTTATCTACGTTGTTAGCAAAAATTTTTGAAATGCTCTTAGCTAAGTTATTTTCCCAGAAGGGGATCGATATGTAAAAATTATTAATATGACTCAAATTGGGGTAGGCTAATTTTTGAATTTTCTTGATTGGATTGATTGGATTATGTCCGGGTCATACCCGTTGTTAAATGCAATTTGTTTAAGTATATTTAATTCTTGAAGATAATTAATTTTATTTAGAGGAACTGATAGAAGTCTATAAATATAGCAATAGGAAGCAGACATTTTATGTTGGTAGGGGTGATTTGAAGAATAGTGTATCACGTGGTCTGTTTGGGTGGGTTTTCTATATATGCTCAATTCGAATTTGTTACCCTGTCTATGGACAGAAAGGTCCAAAAAGTTCAAACAACTTTCTTTTTCAACTTCCAGAGTGAATTTTATATTGGGATGAATAGTATTGATTGAGTTTAGAATATTAGAAGCCGTGTTGGCGTTACCATTTATTAGGCAAAAAATGTCATCCACGTATCAGTGGTAGATTAAAATATTTTTATGTTGTGGAATAATGTAACTAGTTTCATAAAGAT